GGACCGGAAAAGGGTTCACGGGGCAGGTGAATCAGGCGCGAGGAGGAAAGAAAAGTTCCTGGAGCGCGGGCACAGCGACCTTCCGCGCTTTACGGCCGGGCAAGGGTACGGCGAGTGCGCACGCGCGCCGACGTCAGGCGAGGCCCCGCCCTCGCCACGTGGGCTTGTTTGGGTCTCGCGAGGCTCCGCCCCCGGGCGCCACTACCTCGGCCTAAGCCTCAGCCTCGACCTCACCGAGGCGGTTTGAAGCTTGGGCCTGCAGGTGTCTGCGAGTGGAGCTGACGTCGCGGCAGCGAGCGTGGCGTTAAGGACCTTTCCACCGCGAGTCCCCGCCCGACCTTACTCCTTGTTCCTTCCCAGTTTAGAGGAGGAGGAGGAATCATTCACTGGAGCCTCCACGGTCAGGTCGCCGAGCTGTCCTTCCTTCAGAGAGTCCGTCCCTACCTCAAGTGTGAGCGCCAGCTGCCTTTCCCACGGATGTAAGCCCAGCCCTCTGACCTCTGACGACAGAACCTCAGGGTCGCACGGTTATATTCTCTGCACCTCAGCCAGTGCCTGGAACCTTCTCCCAGTGCGTCCTTCCTGGAAAGGACCCTGATCGGATGGAGAGGCCACCACCGCACCTTGGGCCATGCTGTCCAGGTCCCACGCTTTGGAATCCAGCGCGTCTTACCGCACACTCCGATCAGGAGTGTTATTGCTGGCCGCCTGTGCGCTGTGCTGAGTGATGGGGTACGGCAGGGCACAGGGCAGTGAGGGATTCTGCCCTTAGAGAGTGGCAGTAAAGCCTCAGGGACGCCCGGGGACCATAGCAACGCCACTCACTGGCCAGCGAACTTCCGCTGGACACCCAGGTGACATGTGACATCTGACTGCCAGAGGACTCAGGTTCTTCTGCCGGCTCTTTTGATCCAGGAAAGTTCAAGGCATCTGGGTCCTGTGCTAGATGAATCCTTGCACATTTTAGTCAAGGTTTTCACCCATCCAAAGAGTGAGAGACCGATCCATCAGAAGCATTACGGGGGCAACCTTTTCAAATGCCCAGATGTGGCAGTTACCAAAGAAAAAGCCACAAGTTTTCTTCATAAGCCATTTGCAGGCATATGAATTTGGGAGAAACCTAGGTGTCCACAGGATGTCGTGGATGAAGCGAAGTGATATGTAATATGTTGTTTCAATACAGTAAGGAGTATATAAGCTGAGCCCACTTCCTTCCCACATCAATATTACCAGCTCTCTGCTTTAAAATGCTAAGTTCAAAAAACTTTTGCATTATTGTCCTTAATATTTACTCATAACCACTAGTAAATTGTTAAACATATTCAAGAGGATTGAACACTATGGTTTTTTGGTTTCATGTTTTCCATAAAATGTCAGGATTGTTTATTAAATGATTCTGGTTTCAGTGTACTGAGCGTGTTTTGAAGAATCAAACATTTTTATGGGTAATTTTTCTGATAAGATTTGGATGCATTTAACTTTATTTTTTTCAAAAATCTTCTGCCTCCTTGTTTTCTGTCAAAGACAGAGATTATGGGCCTGGGTATTTAGCTCAGTGGTTCTGCTGCCTACCTTGCAAGCATGACATCCCAAGTTCAATCTCCAGTACAAAAAAAAAAAGATTATGAGAGGAAGGGTGACTATTTTAAGTACCTGTTTCAAAAGATCTATTCTAGGATTTCCTTTACACATGAAGTTTGGAGCACTATTCTCTAAGCCTGGTACTAGCTTCTTCCACTCTAGGATGTCAGATGGCGGCTATGGATGGAAAGAATGGAAAAAAAAAAAGTAAGTTAATTTTAGTGTGAGTTCCCTTCACTCCACATAGCCTCCTCAGAACAGACAGGTGGGGGTAGAAAATCCAGCAGCTAGTTTCAGTAAAGGGTTTTCTAGTTCACACTTTACTCTCTCCTCAACTCTTGGAATGTGCAAAACACCACTGTAATGATCATAAGGTCCTGTAATTCATTATTTGTGTTTGTAAGTGCGTGGGTCTGTTGGCCCCTTTCTTTTCCTGTGTAGAGATAGCAGGTCGCTCTGAAGACATTCTGGGCACTTGAGTAAATAGGATGTTTTCTCAAGAGCCAAAGTAATGTTGGACACATGGAGTGATCCGCCATTTCTACTCTGTCAATGCAGTGTTAACATTATTATGCACTATATTTCTTAGCTGAGTTTCAAGTGAGAATTTCACTTTATGTTACTAAAGAATTGCTGCGGATTTGTAAATAGGGCAGGGAGGAGAGGGTGAAGGAAGGGCAGGGACAAGGGGAAAAAATGAGAACCAAGACCTGTCATGTAATGGTATAAGATCCCAATGATGAATGTAACTGTACTGTATCCCTAAAATGTACCAATACACTCAGTGAGAGGGGGAAAAAAAAGAATTTCTGTGGACCAAGCCTGAAGATGGCCTCTCACCTAATCCCTCTTCCCTTTCTTTCTTACACTTTAATATCACAGGTTACACCTGGCTTTATGTACCCTGTTCATCCTGTAATGGAAAATAATATACCATACCAAGATACTGCAGACAATGGACATTTCGCTATTCACATGGCAAGAAGAATTCAATGGCTGTTCGTTCATTTACATTCTTTGCCATGACCAGCATAGTGTGGGGTCCCAAGGCAGGGAGAGTGGTGGGAGACGAAGAAAATTGAAGAATAACAGGAAAAGGAAGATACATACCAAGATTAAGTTTGAAAGCTGGGACCAGATGGAACCATAGCCTGAACAGCTAATGGCAGCCTGGAGTCCAGTGCACTCTTTGTTTATAGAGTAAGACGAGAGAGGTAGGGTAACTCATGCTACGTGGCCCACGTGAACATAGCGTGATTGTCTCGTGATTGGGGCATGCGCAGAAAGGGAACAAGGATATATAATATAACTGTCTCCTGGAGCTGTGCCATCCCAGATCTACAGTCTTAGTCTAATTATCTAATCTATCTGTCTAATTTATCTAATCTATGGAGGAGAAAGGGAGCTGTCCTCTTCCCGCCTCGCGTGGATGCTGTCCCGGGTCCCTGCTGTGGCGGCTGTGACAGTCCCTTCAGTGAGTACCCCACATCCGGCGTCATCATATCGCATCGTTGCTCCGCAGGGTTTTCTTTCCAGACTCCAAAAGGCTGTTTGCTCACTGGATGAAAACCCTCACCCCGCAGCAGGGCAGACCCGGTTCCTGTGGTGTGACTGGCAGCAGCGCCGCCCGGGTGACCCTTGAGAGACACCAGGGTCCGTGTCCTCAGTGGGGTCTCGGTCCCCAGGAGAACGGGCCTTCGCGCTGTCCCCACTGTCCCCTTTCTGACGTCTCCCCCAGCGGGTCTGTCAGTCCCCCTTGCCCAGGGTCTCCAACCCCTAGTCTGTGGCTGCATCTCACGGGTGAGGGAATGGGGAAAAGTGGAAAGCAAACCCTTTATAATGTTTTCAAGGTATAAAAACTAAATGTGAGCCAGGTGTGGTAGTGCGCACCAGTAATCCCAGCATTCAGGAGGCTGAGGTAGGAGGATTGCCAGGAGTTTAAGGCTGGCCTAGGATACAGGGGTGGGGGGAGATTTATTATAAGAAATTGATTCAAGCATGAATGCGATAGTGCGCACCTGGAGTTGAGTACTTAGGAGGCTGAGGCAAGAAGACCTAGATTAAGGTTGGCCTGGACTACATAATAAGACCATCAAGAAATAAATTAAAAAATGCAAGAAAGAAATTAGAAAGGGAGAGAAGAAAGAAGTGAAATTGACCCATCACTTGTAGAAGCTGGCAAATCTGAAGTCTTGGAGCAGCCAGCAGGCTGGAAACTCAGGGAATGTGTCACTTTGTGTCCACAGAAAGTCTAGAGGTCAAATTTCTTCTTCCTCAGGGGAAGAAAGGCTTTC